CCCCTTCCCCCCCACTTCCCTACCTACCTCCCTCCCCACCCCCCCACCCATCCTATCCATCCATCCATCCACACTATCTATCTACCTATCTACTTACCTATCATCTATCTTTCACCAGAATATAAGAAAGAGATTATACAAATCCTGTGAAAGGTATAAGAATAAGGTAGTGAAATACAGGTGGACACACAACAAATCTGAAATATCATGAACGAATATATTCCAGTGTATTATTGGAAATTTATAATAAGATATTTCATATCTATTTTCCAAACAAAACCCAAATCTGCCTGTTGAAGCTTAAACTGAAAATGCTTGCTTAACAGTACAAGTTGCTATAAAAACTATAGACAATAAACAATAGATTAGATCAATACTGGAAGTTATACATCAAGTTAAAATATTAACTCTAAACATTAGAGCTGTTGGACATGCTCCCGTGTATAAAACTGTAATCCAAGACTGGTTTTCAAAAAGAGTTAAATTCTACATTGGATTTGCTTTTCCAATGCAGTTATGCTGAGCATCAAGGCACACCACATTCCTTTGAGTTCAATCAAGGTTCCTGGTGATTACACAGACTTGTAGATTACTTGACAATAATATTGGTTTGCCATTACCTTCTTCTTGGCTTTTGCTTATTTTGCTTTGATTTCTTACTTCCCAGTCTAATTTACGGCCCTGGAATTTCCATGGAGTCTCCCATCTAAGTACTAACCAGGCCTGATCCTATTTAGCTTCCAAAGGAATCTGAATTAGCCAGCACATTTCTGCAGGAAAGAACATACTGTATAGCACTGCTATGTCTTTTGAATCAATCCAGATCAATTAAAATCCATCTCAGCTATTTATTTATAGCACTCTTCCCCACTCTGTTGCCCTCCAGATGTCCTGGGACCAAATCCCAAAATTCCCAACATCCACATTGGCTAGAGAATCTAGACACCATGCTTTCAACTCATTGGGTAAGCAATAGGTTGGGTAAGGCGGGTTTGGAGATTCAGGCCAGCCAAAAGTCTGAGGGTCTAGTGCAGTGTTTCTCAACCTCAGCCACTTTAAGATGTGTAGACTTCAACTCCCAGAATTCTCCAGCCAGCATGCTGGCTGGAGAAT